CCCAGATTAGGCTCATACTGGAAACCGGGTCCAGTGTCCCTTTCTCCTGTCAAACTACATGCAACTCCTGAACAAAGACAAAACTGGATAAGCAGAAGACAAAATAGCTCTAAACGCAAGAACCTACCTACCTGCCCCTAGGTTACATTCAGGAGCCGAAAGAAGTGACAATCCTATCCCCATGTTGCCCTTAAGAAATAAGAGAGCTGAAATGAATGGAAGGACTGAAGCCCCTGAGGAATGCCCCAACATGCTACACCCTAGACCATGCTGTCTTTTAATCTTTAAAAACTCGTTAAATAGTACCATTTACTTAAACCCTAAACCCTTTTTTCCTTCTTGCTACATACTTACAAGTTACCACCATATCATCTTTCCCTTCTCGGAATACTTGGAAGCCTATCCTCGTACTTCTACATCCTAAAATCCGTTAAATATTCTTCTACCCCCTAAAAACATTAAATAGAATTTTCCTACTTCTATCTGAACTAACCTACTAGAATTACTGAAGGGAAGCAATTTGGTGGTCCCTTCCTCTCCACGTAAACTGTAGTCTGGAGTCCCGTATAGCTGCCACCTTTCCCTGAACCAGCACCCTTTGTGTGAATCAGGCCTTCAGCTGCTGCTCCTGATCCGGGTATCGGTGGATCTGTCTCTGTATTCATTTCCATTGTGCCCAGAGATCTGTTTCTAGTAAATTGTAGGAGGACCCCGCATGCTTCTTGCTGGTGCATTGGCCTCTTCTCAATAGTAATCTGACAACGTCTCTTCCATATTGCCCATAGGGTATACTGCCTTATTAGCTGAAATATGGTCTTCTCATATGGCTGCCAGTTCCTTGGCAGCTCGTGGCCTAGCAGTATGGTCGCTTTGCTCTCAGGGAATGGTGACGCCGTGATTTGACCCCAAAGGGACTTGGCCTTCTCCCATACCGCCGCTGCCTCGGGGCATGTTAGGAGACAGTGCAGCATTTTTTCTGGGTCTCTCTCCCGACAGACTATACACTGTGCGTTAGCTGGATCCCTCTGTGCTCGGCTCCTGCATTCGTTTAACCAGTCATTCACCGGCAGTGCCACGTGGGCAATTAGCCACTGTACGCTTCTGACCCTACCGATGCGTATCGTGTTGATCTGTATCCACGGTATTTTGGGTAGCTGCTCCGGTGTAACTCCCATTTTGTTTTCCCATCGCTTGGACAGGGCAGGCGCTAGTGGGTGCGACCTTCTTCTCAGTCTGTAGCCAATTCTTGTTGTATAGTTTAGAATGTTGATTCTTCTGACCACCCCAGTTGTTCCTCCTCTAAGATTCCATGCCCATTCTGCGGGGTCCACCTCCAAATCCTCCAAAGGTGTGGTTGGACTGTAGATTATGAAATCATCAGACTCCACCACCCTTACTTTGCGCAGGTGTTGCAGTTGGATAGTGATCGGAGTTTTAGTTGCCTGGTCCAACTGGCTAGTGGTACTCCCCAGGCGCTTGATCTCGTACATATCTGCAATCGCCCATTCCTTCCTTTCCGGTTCCTGATTCCAGATTCTGAATGCAACCTGTGGTTCCTCATCCTGCTGCCATGTGGCCCAGTCCCCTAGTCCCCATTGGGACTCCTTCCGGAGCAGACTTGTCCATTCCTGCGGTATGGCCTGAACCAAGTCGTTAAGGTGTTCGTCTAGCTTGTGGCTTCCCTTCAGCTGCGTTCTGAGCTCTCTACTTGTCTTCCATCGCCGATTACTATCTTCCCAGAGGTGCTTGATTTGCCACACACCATGTTCCAACCATTTGCCCCATTTGGTGTCTCTTATTGTGAGTGTAAATGGTTTCCCTTGGGCGTTCTTGATTCCTGGGTTGCAGAACAAGGGTTGGCGCAGAACCTCTTCTATTGAGAAAGGGTCCCTGACTCTAGCTGGGAAGATGTCCTTCCAAGGCTTAAACATTTGGCTCCGATAG